GGGAAAGGGCTCAGTTCTAAAAAGTGCTGATCAAAGCACATGAGTTCAAGCTTAAAGTGAAGCATGTTCTTCATGAGAAAGGGGCTAGATTGCTCAGCAACCTGAAGAAGAGATGATTAAATCTAGCGTTTAGTATCAGTGGAGCTGCAACCAAATCAGTGACCTGGCAGCAGGATTTAGCCCTGCTTTACTGAGAAAAATCAACTACCAGCTAATGTTTCCTTTGCGATAGCAATATGATGGGAGGGTGGCCAGTTGTTATGGGCTCCTACAGATATGCAGGGAACCTGCTCTGAAATCCAGCACATTGGAGTGGACTCAATTAACTGAGTCTGCTGGAGTACAGAAACTGACACCCTCCAGAAGCCTTCCACATCACATGCATCAACATCCCTGCTCTGAAAAAATAGCGGTGGGGCGCTTCGAAATAAAACACATTTGATGACTTTAGTTAAAAGTGCCCCGCCACCATTTTTTCAGCACATGGGCACATGGGGATGTTGATACACGTGACATGCAGGCACTTTTAATTAGTGCAGCTTGCTAATTAAAGCACCCAGCACCATGTCCCAAACTATGTACAGAAATGCTCTGGAACACCAGTTTAGCCTACTAAAAATATTCCTGAAATTTGCAAAGAGTGAAGTGCACTTCTCACAGAACTGACTGAATTTGACTACTACACTTATTGTTTAAACTTCAGTAACTTCGGTCAAATTTCCCTCTTTATTACTTAACTCCTAAAGGGACTGTACTAATATAACTGAGAGGCAAAACTGGCCTAGAACCCATTTCCATTTCCAGTACCGAAGGAAAACTGCCTGCATCAAAATTACTCTGATTAGAATAGGAGAGAGAGAAACAGCAACAAAACAAAGCAAAACCAGATAATTCATTGGCTGGAGTATATTTGTGCCACTATCCTAAACTAGACAGAATCAAATGTGCTCAGCTGAGTATTCTGCAATGGCAAATCAGTCCCCCCCTGCTCAGATAAATGCCCGTGCTTCCTGAGCTAGAGGATATGATTTCTAAACCATTGTCATTTTGAGCCCATGACATGGAGCTGGGTGACAATGATCAAGTCCAGATTAGCTATAACATTAGGGCACCTATACACATGCATTGAGGCTGCTCCGATGCAAAATGACAGCGCATTGGAGCAAACTTAATTACTCAAGTCTGTTGGGGAATGGTAATTACTGCTCTCCAGCAGACTCCGGGCATCACATGTATCAATATCCCCATGCTGAAAAAGGACAGTGGGGGCGCTTTAACTGAAGCTCATTTGATGAGCTTTAGTTAAAAGTGCCACCATCACCATTTTTCAGTGTAGGGACATTGATGCACGTGATGCTCTGAGAGCTTTTATCAGAGCAGCTCTTGGAGCCACTCTAATTAAAGCAGCCCCCTCCCTCCTCCCCCCACCTCCGGGAGCACGTGTATAAACGCCTTTAGTTTTAGCTCAGAAATAGGCCAGTCTGGGCATTTACATTATCAGAGAATAGCACTCTTCTACAGGGTAAATCAACCAGAGTACACTTGTTTCTTTCCTCCTCTTTTTAATTATTATTTACTGCCACTGTCTTTTAGGCTTTATTATTTTTCTGAAGATGTATGCTATAACAAAATACTACTTTCCAAGGAAGAGATCATTTTCAAAATGCAAACAGCTAATCAGAAAGCAATTTCTTCATGCAACCAGAAATCAGGAGAGTGGGAGTGAAAGATGCAATGTTTTACATTAACGGAGCTTTTATATTGTCTTCATAAGCATCACCAGGGGAGTAAAACAGCTCATCATTCTGATAGCAATTAACAGAATTTTCCTGCTGGAAATAAATCATAGTAAAAGTTGGTATATCCCATGTAGTCTATCCCACTTTTGTTCAAGGAGACCAATACACAGCGTATAAAACTTTCCCACATATGGGATTAATTTTGAATAGGCCAAAATCATAAATGCCCTAAGAAAAGCCTCTGAACCTGTAAACAACTTTATGCACTTGGACTAATCCCACTGAAGTCAAGGCAATTGCTCACCGTGCATAAGGTAACTGCGGAATTAGTCCCAATTAGCCCCCAGCACCAGTATATTTTGTGAGAAGTTATGAAAGATTGAAGACTGAAGCCACGATTGAAAAATGTTGAAATTGGTGAAAAATCAAGGGGGAATATGAGGGTTTGCAAACATTTTGGGGGGATTTTTTTCAACCAGCTATGGAAACTATAGATCTGACCCCAATACTTTTCAGCAAGCAACTAAGATTCAAATAAAAACACAGGACTGGATTTTTCTCATTCATGTGAGTTTAAATCAAGAGTCTTTTTCCTGAACACTTTGGAATTACATTAATGAAAAATTGGCATGAGAAAAAAGACAGACCCATCACATTTTCCTGAATGCAGGCTAAACAAACAACAGAGAAATAATAAGCAATCACAGATATGTTCCTCATTAGTCTTCCAATTCTGAAAAGTAAACTTCTCACAAAATCTTAAAGGTCTCTGAACATCTTGTGTTTGCTGTTCTCTCAATGCTGCAGGCAGGCAGGCACAGCATATGAAAAGTTACAGGGTAAAGCATGTTCAGTTACTTAACAATCCCAAAATACCCTCTAGTAACTGAACACCCCTTTCCTATGGAGTGCATCTCCAGGACCATATACTTATTTTCTAAAGGTAACCAAGATTTGATTTATAAGGACTTATGGGCCAACTGACTATGACTTCCTCTGGTCATAAATAAATTCTACAGATGCAAACGCAGAAAATAAAGTCAGGATGAATTACTTTCATCAACATTATACTGGAAGCAAGAATAGTGCAGGCAAGTGACAGAATCTTAGAAAAGTAGGGCTGGAAGGGACCTCAGGTGGCCACCTAGTCTCACCCACTGCTGTCCAAAGCAGGATCATCCCATTACAGCTACTGGAATACTCTGTTTATAACAATTATATTCCTTTAAATTTGGGGGGAGGGGGGGCACTGGACACAGGAAATACAAGGGGGCTGCAATCTTCATCACATGCAGAGATTGAGCATTTTTGGAAGAACACAGATCAATCTTAAATTGTTTTGAGGTTTCTGAGCTGTTCATGTGGCCTCCTCCCTCTCAGGGCGACTTTGGGAGGAGATGCAACACCTAGGGAATCAAAATGGCAAGAGGGCAGATGAGAGTGCATGTCTGGAAGTACATCAGCAGTCATTATCACTTGACTATATTCCATGGTGCCCCAAAGGATTCTCAGGCATAGGAGGGAAGCAGAAAGGTTTTTGTAAAACACTTATCACCATGTTATGACTTGACAGGGAAGTTATAAAAAAGGAGCTCATAAGTTCATCCAACCATGGATGCTTTCAATTCTTTGTAGACTTACATGTTTGACAGTTCGTTTCTCCAGCACCCCAGCAGTGATCTTCTGTGCAGTTTGAATGGCATTTTGGACCTAAAATACAACAGTTAAATTGTTATGAAAATCTGAGTAAGAAATTTATATTTGTAGGGCATCTATAGATGTGCTCCAGAGTTGTATTATTGAGTCTGCTCTGACATGTGCTAATTAGCATGACATCTGGCACATGTATAGGTGCCTATACTTTTCAGATAATGTTACATACACCAAGACTGTCAGAAAGAGACTCTTGATCCTTCAGTCCCAGAAAAAACAGAAAGAGCACACTTTAATTCTGGTATTTCCAAACTTTTTGAGTGCTTCACTTTACACCCTCAACTTTCATTTAATGTAAACTTCTTGTAGAAAATTATTTTAATAAACAAATGGAAAAACAGATGGAAAACCTAGCACAAAGAACTAAACCAAGCACACCAGAAGCAGGGCTAGAACCCAACATTTATGGCAAAGACCTTTATTACTTGAGCTAATGGAATAAATCGTAACAGTAAGCGCTTCCCCACCACGGGCACACCCAGACAAGCCTGCACATGCCTCTTGCGGTGTCTCAAAGCAGTTTGAGATGCTGCAACAGGCATGCTGGGAACAAAAAAAACCCAAAAATATTCCCCGTGCTGCATATTTGCAGCACAGGCCAAAAGTGTTACACCTGGAAGTCCAGGTATAAAAAAAAAAAACCAAGGAAAAAAAGCGGGGCAACTGGAGGCTGGGGTCTTCCAAAGAGACGCTCTGATAGCCAGCTAGAGAGTCTCTTTGGCTGCCTCTTGCCCCGCTGCTTCAGCACGTTGCCTTCGCATGTGGGTCAGCCTAGAGTGGTACAGCCTGATGGGACCAGGCTCCATCCCAGGTAAGTAAGGGACTTAGGGGTTATGCAGAATAGAGCAGGGGGCTGTGTGGATGCAGGGGACTGTGAGTAAGGGGGGGGGTTGCACAGGAGAGGAGAGGAGGGGCCCCCCCTCCACCCCCCG